GGTGGCCACCCCGAAGGCGACGCGCACCAGAGCACCGGGAGCGAGAGCGACTCCAGCCCGCGGCCCGGCGGAGAGCACAGCTGTGAGGGCTGCGACGCGTCGTGCTGCAGCCCCTCCTGCCACAGCTCCTCGTGCTACAGCGCTTCGTGCTACAGCTCCTCGTGCTACAGCGCCTCCTGCCACAGCCCCTCCTGCTACAATGGTGGCAACCGCTTCGCCAGCCACACGCGCTTTTCCTCGGTGGACAGCGCCAAGGTCTCTGAGAGCACCGTCTTCTCCTCACAGGACGACGACGACGACGAGGAGAACAGCGCCTTTGAGTCGGTACCTGACTCCGTGCAGAGCCCTGAGCTGGACCCCGAGGCCACCAATGGCGTAGGGCCGTGGCAGGACGAGCTGGCCACACCCGGAGGGACGGTGGCGAGAACTGCGGAAGGTCTGGAGTGCCCCGTGGCAGGGCCGAGCCATCGGAGAGAAGGTTAGACCTCAAACCTGGTCAGAGTGAGAATAGAACCACCCGGGGCCCGCAGGTCTCACCAGCAGGTTTCCAAACAAGACGGGAGGGACCCGCCCCCAGTGGGGTTGCTGGGGTAACGTGTGCCTGTGTTGTGCCCAATATGTGTGTGTGTCCAAGTGTACATGAGGGTAGATGACTGTGGATCGCTGGCACCCCGCCATGTCTCAGACACACACCAAAAAATACAACTGGCTGGTTGTGAGTGTGTACTCGTGTGTTTCTCTGCTTCAACCAATTACCAGAACTGGGTGGTGCAAATTACCTTTCTGGTCTTGGCAGCAACCCAAATGCCAAGACTAATATCGATGGCATTATTGAGAAATAATCACTCTATCATCCATGTTAGATGCATCATGTGTAAAGCATCTGCAAACTTCCCAAAACACATTGAGGGTTAGCAGTCAATGTTAATGTTAGTTGAGGAACATGGATTTTGCCTTTGTTCGATAATTTAACTACTCCGTGTATATGGATAGAAAAAAAAAAGTCTACCCATGTTTGTCATTACAGTATCTCTGTCTGCTCAGTTCTTGTTATAATTGTTGGTTTTGTTATGTTGGTGTTGTCCTTGTCGGCTTTTGTGCTGGATGAAATGGAAGGATAACATGAATGTGTAAATTAGAGTGTTTCTAATAAGATTCTAATCCCAAAGCTTCAACCTTTAGTTTTCAAATGTATTGTAGGTTTTAACCAAGGATATTTCTTTCTCATGGGATCATATATGAAATTAACCTGCTTTTCTTTATCCAGGAATGGGAACCATCTTCCAGGCCAGGGACAGTGTAGTAGGGGGAATAGACAATATAATTCATTTGTTTTAAAAAGGCAAGATATGGATGCTATTTTTCTGGTAACTGATTAAATTAGTCTGCAAACAAAAAGTGGTGGGATTCTCTCTAGATTGTAAGCTCATCAAGGGCCAGAAGTATGTCTTTTTAGTTCCATCCTCAGTACCTAAACAAATGCCCAGTAACTACAAAATTTTTAAACAGAAACTAGAGTGAATGAATGAGATAGCCAATTTGTTTACTGTAGAAATTCCGGTGGGTGAGCCAGGTAGACTCAAGGTGCCCATGCCTATGTACAGTTTAATCAGCAGCAATGTAGAGCCTCATCAGCTCCTTATTAAGTTTGAACCAACATCCATACAAACTAGTGTTCTTTATCTACTTTTTTTGCTTGTTTTCTCTGTATAAAAATAATTTTTATTCCATATAATATTAAGTTTGAACCAACATCCATACAAACTAGTGTTCTTTATCTACTTTTTTTGCTTGTTTTCTCTGTATAAAAATAATTTTTAAGTTCCATATAAAACAACTTTTAAGCCGAGCATGGTGGCACACACCTGTAGTCTGTGCACTTGTAAAGAGGAGTCAGGAGGGCTGCAAGTTTGAGTCTCATCTGGGTCAGAATCTGTCTCAGAAATAATAAATAAATAAATAAATAAATAAATAAATAGTGCTGTGGATGTAACTCAGTGCGAAGGTTCAAGCCTCAGTACCAAAGGAAATCAAATGAAATAAAGTAGTTTTTTAAAGCCTTGCACAGATGAATGAAAGCAGCAAGATACTGCTGTACTTATAGGTCAAGCCCTAGAAACCTGCTTGGTTTATATCCAGTCTCACCATGTCCTTAGCAAGTGACCTATGGTCTCACTTTTCTCCCGTGTCGAGTAAACCCAGAATGCACCCCAAAGGGTTATTGGAAGAGCTAAATGAATATTATAAAGTGCTCTCTTTTAGCAGACTGAAAGTTCCTCCAAGGAAGCAATGGGGCCAGAAGCATCCAAAACCATCCTTTAACTATATATTTCCTATTTAAGGGAGATTTTCATACTGTTAGGTGCATATCACTGCTTCAAATAATATTCAGTGCCGCTTGTTTTCCTACATTGTGGTTGTATTATTTATAAACAAAGGAGAATTGAAAAGGACCTCTTTGACATTTAGCTTCAAAACAGGTTTTCTTCCAGGATGCTCTACCAGGTCAGAACTCTTGCTTTGCATTCAAGGTGAGGGTGGTGGTGTGGCGCTGGCTCCTGGTACAAGACATAATCGCTTGCTTCTGCAGTGCGCTCCATGCATCCAATCAGCTGACCTGTCAGTCACATCATTGCATCTGCTTGGGGGTCCCAAGCAGGTGGACCAGCTCCATTAACCCCAGGCAAGCAATGATATTGTAATTTCCACTAGCTTGGAGGAGTAATTAATCTGTTTGACTGAATTCATTACAATGAGATACATTTGTTGGGTTTGAAAAAAAAACTAAATTAAAAGCGCAGCAGCTGATGACATAACAACTGTACTATTGTTTTTATTTTAACCTCTGACACTGAGCACAAAGAAAAACAAGCATAAGTATCGTGTCCACTTAAACACAGAGCCCATGTGTGAAACAGTAATCATGAGTCGAGACTGAGCTAGGTGCTGGCAGGAGGGGCAGTGCCTTCTCTGATTTCCATTAGCATCTTCAAAGAACAGAGCATTTGTTTCATATTAAACAATTTGCACATGCAATAATGTTATGTTTTTAACACTTCAAAGGGTCTTTTGTTCTGGAATGCATCTGTATTTTTTTTCTTTGCCAGTTACCTCTAAGAAATGGACTACTAAACTAAATCCTCCTAACTTCCTTCCTCATTAATTAATTAATTAATTTGTTTGTTTGTTTTTGGTCAGGTCAGGGCAACTAGAATAGGAGGAAACACTCATCTTTCTCAGTGGACATTCTGGGAACTGATTAGTGTTTTGAGATCACACAAAGATCTCAACCACTGTATGCCACAGTTTCTTTCCCTTTTGACCCATGGGGTAGTAGGGCACTTGTTTTTTGTATCGGCCTTTCGGGGCAGAGGAAAGAAAAGGACTGACATTTATCCTCTGGCCATTGGGTTATGAGGCAGGAGGAAAACAGGCTGCAGTTGGATGGAGGCTGTCTTGTTGGGTCCTTATGGCTCTCCAAGATTAAGAGCAATCCACTGGTTCTGCAGGCCATCATGGAACAGGAGCGCTAATATTCTAAAACATTGTTGTGTCCATTGTAAGTCTGAACTGACAACAGCATAAGCTATGTCTATAATAATCCAGGCTATTTATCCTGTGAATATAATGTTTATTTCTAGAATTTCTCCATGTCTGTCCTTCCTTCAATCCTGCTTCTGTGTTTCAAGTTTTCCTGTTTCGGTCTTCTTGCTTTCTATATACTTCTTTTGTCTTTTGTCCTCCTTTTCCAGAGCACCATGACTTGTCTGATTCCTCCAAATAGTCTGCAGTAGTCATGAGTTTCCAGAGCACCTTATGTTCCCTGCCACTGCTTCCCTATAAGAGGAATTTACCTGTTTGAACCAGCTTCGAAAGGCAACATCTGAAAGTTTCATTCACCCCCATGAAATGTGGAAGATGTCCTCTGTGCAGTCTTCTGATGAATCTTAGTCTTATGATGAGATATAATGTTTTACAAGCTGTTATGGGACCTTGTAAATGCCACACATCCCTCAGGCCTGTTTCCTTTTCTGGGCTGAAATTAGGCTCTGGTTTTTGTGTCTTGTATTTCTTTCTGATGACACCTTCCCATCAAGAAAATTCAAATGATCACAGAATCATATTCTAGTCCTATATATGAGTCCATGTGGCATGCACCATTGCTCATAAAGTGTTTGGATTTTTCTCCTTCCTCCTCCCCTTCATCATTTTCTCCTTCTTCCTCTTTTTCTTCTTCTTCTTCTTCCTTTTTTAATAATTCTTTATATCATGAATGACTGTGAATGTAGCAAACTATCACAAAAAAATAGATTACCCAACTAAATGTGTTGTTCTTGTAGTAGTTTGTTTTACAGTCATGCTTTTTTTATGACATTGCCATAGTAATGAATGAATCTGAATTTCTTGACTATCTTGTCCATAGGTGAATGTCCTATTCTCCATAATTCCCAGCCAGTAAGCCAGCTTCCTTCCCTGAGGCCTGAGCATCACCACTACCCAACAATCGATGAGCCTCTTCCACCAAGTAAGCTTTAGTTTTTAAAATCTGTGTCTTAATTCTTCCTATCAAGTCTAACCAGGTCAGTATGAATTTGTATGTAAACATCCAAATTCTTTTCCAACTTTGTACTTATCACTGTTACCAAAAACAATATGACACCTACTATAAAAATGATATTTTTGACTAGTTTTTTATGTTTTTAGTGTCGCTCATTTCCTGATATGGAGAGCATTTCTTTACAAGCAGCACTACTTGTTTTCCTTGATGAACTTTATTGTTACTTGGAAACTGTCCATGCAGCTGAAATCCCAAATTTTAGTATTACATTTAAATTTTTCTATTCCAAATAGTCTAATTCTGTCATTCTCCATTGGATCTGTTATCCACAAATATCTTCACACATTACATACTAACTTCAACCCACAGGGTCTAGAACTTATACTTTCCTTGGTATAATAGCATCAATAAGTAATACTGCTAAGTTTCTTCTGTAGTTCTTACAGGTGTCCAGGTAAAATATCATCTTTAGGATAGAATTCAATCTCATTTTTTCCCTAGTAACAGTAGTGTGTAACTAATAACTTAACTAGTTTTCTGACCTCCGGAAATTCATTTATTCTCTGAGATACTCAGTTTTCTTATTTGTGAAATAAAGCTTTAGTTTTCCTCATCTGCTAAATGCTACATTTGGACTAGGTAATTTTTAAGTACCATTTCAGAATCAACTTTATAGCACTCCATTTTAATAAATTTATGGGAAGGAATTGCCACCCCAGATATTATAAACTCACTTAGCATCACATGTATTTGTGAATTCTACATCTCTGTTTAGATTTAAGACTTTTTTCTGTACAAAGATAATCTTTAAGATTTGATAGATATGTTTACAACTGCAAAATCTTTTTAGGATGCAAGAAACCATTGTTTCTTTACTTTCTTTTGCCTGTACTTATGTTAAGCATTTACAGTTTTCTAAAGAAGAATTGCTTAGTGGTTAATTCATCTGTTCTTGGTAATGTGATGTCATTTGCACAAACACTACCATTTTTCATTATTCAACTGTGGTTCATCAGTAGGGAAACATTGAATATTTTTGTTTTTCTGGGGCCAAGCCAAATATTATCTCCCTTTAATTTTTGATGCTTGATTTATTTTTTAATCAATACATTGATTTATGAATATTTCTTAGTAAAATAGTACAATTTTATCATTACTATAAATACTTTACGCGTAGCACTTATGTGAAAAATATCAATAACATGTTTCTGAGATACTTTTCCCACAATGAATAACCCACCCATGTAGGTGCACCTACATTTACCTTAAGTTCCAAAAAAACTACTTAATACAAGCCACTTTTAATAATTAAAATAAATTTATCTTGCTTGTAGTGGGACAGGCCTATAATCCGAGCTCCTCCGGAGGCTGAAATAGGGGTTCAAAGTTCTAAGCCATGCTGGGCAATTTAGCAAGACCATGTCTTAAAATAAAAAGTTTAAAAAGATTGGGAGTGTACCTCAGTGTTAAAACACCTATGTACCTACCATGTGTGACATTCTGGGCTCAACACCCAACACCATGAACATAAGCTCCAAATAGACTTCCATTTTCTGTTCACATAACACTGAAAACTATTGCAAAAGTTGTTAGTGAATCCTAGCAGCTGAATTTTCTAGATAGTCTCATATGGTACCTAAATGACATTATTGTTCTAGTCATTCATCTGAGGGTACTATTGAATGCTTATTCTGTGCTAGGTATCACTCTAGGCAAGCAAGATGGACAAAGATCCCTGCCCTCATGGAGCTTACAGTCCAATCTGGGAGGCTTCGTAGAGCACAGAAGGGCTTTGGCTTTTACTCTGAAAGAAGGGGAACATTGCAGGGTTTTGAGCAGAGCAGAGGCACTGAACATCTGGAGGACAGAGACTTGAATTACCCAACTCCGCATCCTAGCAGCTGGCCTTAGTTGCTGGTTTGTAGTAAATGCTGAAGGGAATTGATAGTATGATAGTCTTTGAAGATCAGTATTTACTTTTTGTTGGGTGAGAGTCCTGTTAGATTCAAGGAAGAGAATTTTCCAGTTGCTTTTCTAGTATTAATTTGGGAACCAATGAAATTTCAGAATTTTTGGATCTCAATCATTTGGCTGCCCAGTAACACAATCACACGTATACACAGTTTCGTCAATGAGCTCATTAATATTTACCACTAACACTGGACAGCGGGACTATCTAATAACCAATTTTAGCCAAATTTTCTACAATACATTATACTATCTAACTGCATCTTTCCTCAATTTATTTTAGAAGTTAAATTTGGTGTTTTGAATATTTGGTTTTCATTAGGCATGATTTAAGAGTCCCTCGGGTCATCCACATGCCGAGGTGTTTCCCAACAGGTATGCCTTGTACATATAAAGACAGAAATAGGCCAAATTGATTTTTTCACTTAAAAAAATTGAGAGTTGCTATGTCATTACCTGAATGAATTTTCAAGAGAATTATTATGATGTGACCTACTCCCAAAAGCTGTGGCTTTTCTCTTACGAGGCTGAATAGTTTTTCCCTCTCTTGCAGTCATGTTTGCTTTGTCCCCCTCCATGCTCCAAGGCATTTCCAGCATATCGTTATCATGTTGCTGCTATTTCCACTGCATTTTTATGCGTGGTCTCTGAATGCTTCATCCATTCCTGTGTGGCAAACATTGCTCTCGTATGTCAAGTTCATGTATGAGCGCGTTACTTCCAGTCCTTCGGATTTGAGGGCTCTTTCATGCGTCTCTTCCCCACCGCAATGCCTCCATATATTCCGCAGTATACCATCAATGCATTTGCCTTTTGTTTTTGGTTTCTTTTGTGTGTTCAATTTGAGAAGCAAAAGAATTTATCTTTCTCTTGGGCCCCCTCTACTGTTCAATACTGTTATTTATCAACATATTTATACATATTTAAAAGTTTGATGTTTGTCAGTAGCTGTCATGTGTTTGGATTGGCTTTGTTCGGAGATGTTTGGCAGCCACAGGTAGGTTGACTATACACTGTGAGTTAACAACTTTCCTTGGTATCAAGTCTTCTTGTCCACCCTCTTGAGAGGACCAGCAATCAGTTTGCCTTGATACACATTTTTAAAGGGTCATCTAAAGTTGCAGGTGTAAGGATTAAAATAAAATCAGTTGTAGTACAAGAGCCATCAGCATTGAACCTAGTCATCATCTGTTAGATTTAGCAAAGAAAGGATTCTTAGCCAGATGTGTGGTGTACACTTGAATCCTGGCACTGTTGAAGGCTGAAGCAGGAAGATGGCAAATTCAAACCCAGCCTGACCCTGTCTCAAAATTTTAAAAAAGGCTGCCATATATCTCCATGTTAAAGCCTTAGTTTCAATTCCTAGTACAAGAAGAGAGAGAGAGAGAGAGAGAGAGAGAGAGAGAGAGAGAGAG